AACTTGTTTTGCAGAGCCGGACACTATCCTTGTGTTCAAAATCTTCTATGGAGTATTCGGAGGAGGAACCCACCTTGCAATGCCGAAGACAAATCTGCGCGTCGGACTCATCGTCATTAAAGCCTGGTTCAGGGGCTACTGAGGGAGTCCTGGATTAGGGAGTCTCCGGATAGCCGGACTATATCCTTTGGCCGGACTGTTGGACTATGAAGATACAAGATTCAAGACTTCGTCCCGTGTCCGGATGGGACTCTCCTTGGCGTGGAAGGAAAGCTTGGAAATACAGATATGTAGATCTCCTCCCTTGTAACTGACTCTGTGTAACCCTAGCCCCCTCTGGTGTCTATATATACCGGAGTGTTTAGTCTATAGGACAAAAACAATCATACCATAGGCTAGCTTCTAGGGTTTAGCCTCTACAATCTCATGGTAGATCAACTCTTGTAATACTCATATCATCAAGATCAATCAAGTAGGACGTAGGGTATTACCTCCATCGAGAGGGCCCGAACCTGGGTAAACATCTTGACCCCCTACCCGAGATCCGCCAGTTTTGACACCGACAATCATCTTATAATGCTACCGCCGTACTAAGCAAAATAAGATGCATAAAAGATAAACATCACATGCAATCAAAATATGTGACATGATATGGCCATCATCATCTTGTGCCTTTGATCTCCATCTCCAAAGCGATGTCATGATCTCCATCGTCACCGGCTTGACACCTTGATCTTCATCGTAGTGTCGTTGTCGTGTCGCCAACTATTGCTTCTACGAATATCGCTACCGCTTAGTGATAAAGTAAAGCAATTGCATGGCGATTGCATTTAATACAATAAAGTGACAACCATAATGCTCCTGCCAGTTGCCGATAACTTTTACAAAACATGATCATCTCATACAACAACGTATATCTCATCACGTCTTGACCATATCACATCACAGCATGCCCTGCAAAAACAAGTTAGACGTCCTCTACTTTGTTGTTGCACGTTTTATGTGGCTGCTACGGGCTTCTAGCAAGAACCGTTCTTACCTACGCATCAAAACCACAATGATTTTTCGTCAAGTGTGTTGTTTTAACCTTCAACAAGGACCGGCCATAGTCAAATTCGATTCAACTAAAGTTGGAGGAACAGACACCCGCCAGCCACATGTGTGCGAAGCACGTCGGTAGAACCGGTCTCATGAACGTGGTCATGTAATGTTGGTGTGGGCCGCTTCATCCAGCATTACTGCCAAATCAAAATAAGACGTTAGTGGTAAGCAATATGACTATTATCGCCCACAACTCATTGTGTTCTACTCATGCATATCATCTACGCATAGACCTGGCTCGGATGCCACTGTTGGGGAACGTAGCATGCAATTTCAAAAAAAATTCCTACGATCATGCAAGATCTATCTAGGAGATGCATAGCAATGAGAGGGGAAGAGTGTGTCCATGTACCTTCATAGACCGAAAGCGGAAGCGTTAGGTTAACGCAGTTGATGTAGTGGAACGTCTTCACGATCCAACCAATCCAAGTACCGAACATACGACACCTCCGTGTTCAGCACACGTTCTGCTCGATGACGTCCCTCGAACTCTTGATCTAGTAGAGGGTCGAGGGAGAGTTCTGTCAGCACGACAGCGTGGTGATGGTGATGGTGATGTGATCTGCGCAGGGCTTCGCCTAAGCACTACGACAATATGACCGGAGGAGTAAACTATGGAGGGGGGCACCGCACACGGCTAAGAAACAACTGTTGTGTCTTTGGGGTGCCCCCACCCCCGTATATAAAGGAGGGGAGGAGGAGGAGGCCGGCCAGGGGCGCGCGCCATGGGGGGGGGATCCTACTAGGAGTAGGATTCAGCCCCCCTTTTTTCCTTTCTTTCTTCGGAGGGAATATGAAGGAGAGGGAGAGGGAAAGGGAAGGGGGGTCGCGCCCCCTCCTCCTTGTCTTATTAGAACTCCCTAGGAGCCACCCCTCACGGGCTTCCCTCTCTCTCCCTTAGGCCCGTGCTGGCCCGACACTTCCCCTGGGGGTTCCGGTAACCCCTCGGTACTCCGGAAAAATACCTGAATCACTCGGAACCATTCCAATGTCCGAATACTACCTTCCAATATATGAATCTTTACCTCTCGACCATTTCGAGACTCCCCATCATTTTCGTGATCTCATTCGGGACTCCAAACAAACTTCGGTCACCAAAACACATAACTCATAATACAAATTGTCATCGAATGTTAAGCGTGCAGACCCTATGGGTTCAAGAACTATGTAGACATGATCGAGACACATCTCCTGTCAATGACTAATAGCAGAATCTGGATGCTCATATTGGTTCCTACATATTCTTCAAAGATCTTTATCGGTCAAACCGCATAACAACATACTTTATTCCCTTTGTCATCGGTATGTTACTTGCCCGAGATTCGATCATCGGTATCATCATACCTAGTTCAATCTCGTTATCGGCAAGTCTCTTTACTCGTTCCGTAATGCATCATCCCGCAACTAACTCATTAGTCACATTGCTTGCAAGGCTTATAGTGATGTGCATTACCGAGAGGGCCCAGAGATACCTCTCCGATACACGGAGTGACAAATCCTAATCTCAATCTATGCTAACTCAACAAACACCTTCGGAGAGACCTGTAGAGCATCTTTATAATCACCCAGTTACGTTGTGACATTTGATAGCACAAAGGTGTTCCTCTGTTATTCGGGAGTTGCATAATCTCATAGTCAGAGGAATATGTATAAGTCATAAAGAAAGTAATAGTAATAAAACTAAACGATCATTATGCTAAGCTAACGGATGGGTCTTGTTCATCACATCATTCTCTAATGATGTGATCCCGTTCAACAAATGACAACACATGTCTATGGTTAGGAAACTTAACCATCTTTGATTAACGAGCTAGTCAAGTAGAGGCATACTAGGGACACTCTGTTTTGTCTATGTATTCACACATGTACTAATTTCCGGTTAATACAATTCTAGCATGAATAATAAACATTCATCATGATATAAGGAAATATAAATAACAACTTTATTATTGCCTCTAGGGCATATTTCCTTCATCATGGTATAGTCTCACATAAGCATTACGTCCACGATAAGTAGACCGTTAATCCAACTGCATCTACTACTATTACTCCACCCCAAGACCGTTATCCAGCATGCAACTCAAAGTGTTAAGTTTATAAGAAACAAAGTAACACAATAAGTAAGATGACAAAATATAGACTGAAGAAAACCTAGCAATAAGATTGACCCCATCATTTTATCCTTTGTAGCAACAACACAATACGTGTCTTCGTCCTTTCTGTCCCTGGACAAGATCGCCGCAAGATTGAACCCATTACTATGCACCACTCTTCTAAAGAACTACTCTTTTACATTGGCCAGAGAAGACTCATAGATCGGAAAGCATACATAGCTATAAAATTGCACAGCAAAGAAACTTATTTTCATTGTGTATATATAAAGCATGTTTCGAGAGAGTCCTACGATATGACAGATCCTACGAAATCATGTGATCCAAGACCAGGTAGAATCCATGTAGGGTCACGATCCAAATTGTTGAATCCTATACAAAACTGCAGAATGCTCTGACTCTGCTATGGACTATGTGCGATTCCTCTAATTTCTTATATGAGCAGTTTATTTTGTTGTAGCAGAATAATACAATGTATGTGACCGCAATGAAGATGAAGCTAACAATGGATCCAACGAGGATAACAAATATGATCATATTTTTACAAGAAAACTTCCAATTTATTCATCAACTGTCAAGGTAGTACAAAGAACACCAGAAGTAAAATTACATCCAGGTTCGTATACCACATAGTGACGACTACAAGCACTGGAGCGAGCCAAAGACGCGTCACCGTAATCGCCCCTCCCTCATCGGAACCGGGCAAACATTATTGTAGTAGATACTCCGAAAGTTGTCGTGATAAGGCCCAATAGGACCCGCGCACCAGAAAAACAACCGCCGTTGATGAAGAAAAGTGTAGATTGGAAGGATCTAGCATGCAGACACATGTAAGTAGAGAACGAAGACGGGGTCCAAGCGGATCCACTGAAAACAGACGCCGACCTGATCCATGAGATCCGTCGGAGACCCACCTCCACACGCCCTCGTCGATGCTAAAAGCTCCCCCTAAATGGGGGCTAAGCAGGGAGGATCTTATTCCATCTTCAAAAAGCTGCCATCGCCTCGTCTTCCTGAGCATGAGACAAACCTAACAAAACTTAAAAAAAAAACCCGCCTACAAACGAAGCCCTCCCGTCAGCAAAGGTCGAGATTCACCGCGCCATCATGGTCCAAGAACTATAGGAGACGAGGCGGACATCAGCGGTGCCGACGAGAGGCAAGGAAACCCTAGCGCCTTGGTCAGAGGAGGCTAGAGCTGAGGGGCACGGAGTCGTAACAATATGAATTGACCAACGTGGATAAAATAAGCTGAGGGGTAAGTTTTCGGTGAACTGCCAACGCAAAGCCAGATTTGTCTCAGCTACATAAACCGGCGAGATACGATTTTGCATTGCGAAGCCTTCCTGATTTTCTGAACCGAACCAATTTCCCTTTTGACATTCATACAAAACACAAGGCCAAACCAATGAGTCTAGCTCCATTCAGCTACATTCATCCTTTGATTCCTTTGCATGCATTATTTTTGTTTGTTTGCCAACATTTTGGCAGGGCAGCATCAAACCAACCAGATCCAGAAAATGAGAGTTTATGGACCTATGATCCATATCGAATTTTGGATAAAATAGAATAGATAAAGAGAACATAAAACCACAAGAACAGTGCAACAGAATGGTACAATGTCAAACAAAATCCCCAGCTCAAATGCAACCAGGCACAGGCACCAGCAAAGTAGAGTATATATATGTATATCACTGTAGGTATTCGTTCCATGTTCATATATCATCCACGAAATACACGTACGTATTTATACGCGGTATACTACGATCTCACAGTCGCGGAAGCGCGCTAAAGTACCCCGAAAAACCTGCCCCAGCCACTCCTCCTCGCCTCCTCCTCAGCGGCCGCTGCCGCCGGCGGCGGCGGCGCAGCCGGCGCCTCTCCGACGCCCCAGATCCCCTCGAGAACCTGGGCCAGGCTCGCCGGGACGCCGTAGGTGTCGGCCTCGGGCGCGGCGAGCACGGAGTCGAACACCTCCTGGAGGCCGACGACGCGGCGGCTGACGGCGCGCCGCGCCTCCCGCACGGCCGGGTCGTGGCCCGGGACGGCGTCGAGGCGGAGCAGCACGGCCATGAGCGCCTCCGAGAAGCGCGCGCGCTCGCGGTCGTCGCCGCGGACGGCGTCCACGGTCTCCTGCCGCCGGAGCAGCCGCTCGAGCCGCGTCGCCTCGGCGTCGGCGGCGCGCACGGCCGCCACGTGCCTCCGGACCCGGCGGCTGCGGAACGCCGCCTGGATCCTGGCGGCCGCCGCGTCCTGAGGCGTGGTGACGGGGATCCGGACGGTTCTGGCGGGCTTGCGCGCGGCGGGGCTGGGGCCGGGGCCGGGGTCGCCGGCGGCGAAGAAGAACTGCGAGGCGGAGCTGTAGTGGTAGGAGCCCATGGCGGCCGCCCTGGGTCAGTAGAGCGAGGTGAGGTCCAGTGTGCTACGGAGGACAATTTCGTGGGATCTGTGGGTGCCGGGCGTCGCACAGACCCGCGGTCCGGTCCACGCCTGCGGCGTGTTTCTTTGGGGGCAGGGCGTGTTTTCCTCGTCTCTTTTTCGGTGGCTTTTGCCGCACCACTCTAGCTCGAATTCGATACATATGCTTTTTGCTCGGTGGATATACATTGTCTTGCGCAGTGTGGCTACAGACGGGGGCCACCGAGAGACCCCGGCAGAGTGACACAACCCAACGGCCCGACGCACCGAAAGGTGGAAAACCCCAACAGCGGCCGGAAAGGGCACCCGAGAAGTATCCGGAAACGTGATCCGCAGCCCCACATGCAACAGAATCAGCCTCGCCCGCCACCGGCGATGTCCGCCGAGCGCGCTTGCTTGGCCGGGCGCTCGCAAAGCATAGGCAAATCCCTAAGGCCAACTTCATCGTGCGATCTTAAATGCGGAAACGCTCCTTCGCGAGCGAGCGTCGCAACGAGCGATCTCGTTTCCTCGCATTGTCGGAAGCCGATGGCTGATGGGCCTACCCATGAAGACGCATCAGCCCACATGTGCGCTGGACCCTCCTGCTCTCTCTCGCCCGTAAAACTTAATCTCACCGGCCCCCTGATTTCAACGGGCGGGGCCCGGGGTGGGGCCCAGATTTACTTTAAACAATAGCCCAAGACTTGCTAAAACGGGCAAGTGTGGCCTGTCGGAATTCGCGCGTCGCAGCGGGCACGCGCGAGATAGACTCCCTCTCTTAAATGAACGTCCGTTTTATTCAGATTCTGTCTGTTTGGATAGAGATTTAGGATTGTGTTCGGACGTGTTCTTAAATTAGGTGGCTGTGCGCCTAGCGCGCGGCCGCATCCATTTGCCCATCCTGTCCGCGTCTATTTAAAAAAAGAGCAATATTTCAAATATCAAGCCCTAGTTCACGGTCCCAATTCATCACGCCGGCAACAAAGTCAGCGGCCTACACGTCCATCGCCAGGGGCCGGCAACACAACCAGCCTCCAAAATAAATAGTTGTCCTCGCCGGCAACATAGTCGGCATCCAAAATGAATGTTTTCTCGCCGGCACACTGCCAGCGGCCCAGCGGGCGGGCGACACCCATGCCAGCCTTCAAAAAGAACGGTCACGCCGAACGGATGACCTAGTTCAGGGCTTCGGCGTCGAGCATCTCCTTCTGCCTGGCCTCGAACCAGGCCCTCGTCTTGTCGCTCATCTTCGACAAGTCCACGCTCATGATTGCAAGGACCACCTCCTTCGCTTTGGTGGCGGCATTGGTGGCCTCGATGTCGAGCTGCCTCTGCCTGGCCTTGACGTTGTCGGCCTCGATGTCGAGCTGCCTTTGTCGGGCGGCCTCTTCCATGTCGAGCTGCCTTTGCCGGGCCGCCTCCTCCATGTCGATCTTCCTCTTCTTGGCCGCCTCCTCCATCTCAAGCTTCTTTCTTTGAAGGTTTAGGTATTGCTTCATTTGCTCGTCCTTGCTTTGCCGCTTCTTCTGGTCCCTCACATCCTTTTGAGACATCATGCCATGCAAAGTGTCATGCAATGCCATGGATGAGGCATCACGTATGTCATCAACCTTTGAGTTGGTCTTGCCCCTCGGCCTCTTCAACGCCTCGCCATCTCCACCTCCGGCGAACTTGGCCGTCTTCAGTCCTCTCTTCCTTTGTAGTTCACGGTATTGGTCCTTGAACTTAGGGCAATTGTTGATGAGCGTCCAACAATGCGTAAGAGTGAATGACTTGTCATTGTGCCGGGCCTTGAATGCCTCCAAAGATTGAAATGCCTACAACACATGATCAACAAGAAGTGAACATACAAACATATACAAGGCCGTAGCAAGGAAAGGGCTAGGAAGAGGAGAGCATACCGTGTCCCCAACGCCGAGACCACTCACGGGCCGTGCTTGAACGCTCTCAAATGCGGCTTGATACTTGTTGAACTCTTGTTGGATGAACAACCATCTCTTTTGAATCGAGCCGATGCCACGATTGCTTGTAATTTGGTAGGGCTCGAACATCTTCCTTTCATTGAATGTTTTGTGGACTCTCCTCCAAAAAACAAGCCCTTTTGTTGTGCGCCGGTCCTCGGATCTTGGCTAATCTCCATCCAAGCTTGGCAAATCAACTTGTCCTCATCTTGTGTGTATGAACCCGTGCGAATGCTCTTCCTCTTCTTTTGTGCTTCCGCTCTTTAGGTGAGCTCGTCGATGGACAATGGTTCGCCACTAATATCAACGTCATTGCCTTCTTCTTCATCACCATCACCTTCGACATAGATGTCATCGTCTTCATGCCACGAGTCACCATGGTCGTAGTCAGCACGGTCGTCGGCCTCTTCATTGGGAACGTACTGGGCACGACCATCCTGACTTTGGGTCTCCTCGGGGTCGTAGGCACGACCATGCCCACCCTCGAAGATCACGTCCTCCATGTGCTGGTTGTAGAAGGGGTCGTCGAGCGTTGGCGTTGGGGTTGGCATTCCCTCAAACAAGACGCGGGGGGCCGACATGGTGGCTGTGAACGGTGCCCGTGCCTGCTTTCTTTGCATCTCGACGGACGACCGACCGCCGCTGATGGACCCAGGCGTGACATTGAGGTCAATGACAGCCGCGGGACGCGGTGTCGACGGCGCGAACAAGCCCACATCCGGCGACCCCGAGAAACGGTATTGCTGCCGAGGAGAGCTCACCACGCCGTAGCTCTATGTATTCTCCCACCGACAGGCGGGCCAGGGGAGTACAAGCGCGCGTGTCCCGCCCGTCCGCGCGCTGTTTGTTTCACCCCAAAACCGACACAAACTTGGGCCGGGGATGGGTCGAAAGCGGAAAAAAGTCCGTTTGCGCCCGCGCGTTGGGCCGTCTCGTTTGTCCCTTTTACCTCAAACGGACGGGGGCGGACAGGATAGGGTCACGCGGTGGAGTTGGCCTAAGAGCAACCTTAATGGGACGAGCCATTTCCTCCGCCGCCGTCCGTTTGGGTCGGCGCGGATACAAAAGGTGGCCTAACGCGTCGATCCAAATGGACGCGGGTTCGTTTTTCGTCCGCGGACGATCCATTCCTGGTCCATTTTTGAGTCGGATTTGCGTCGGCGCGGACACGCGACGGACGCGTGCACGCTTGCCTTCTTCTCTCCCCGGGCCCGCTGGTCGGTGGCACATTGGCCTCCTCCCTCACCCCTAGCCAACAACAACCCTTGCCCGCCTCCTTCGTCGCCGCCGCCGCCGCCCATTTTTGCCGGCGACTCTGCCAGCTGCCGCCGCCTCCACATCCGCCCAGCAACGCCGCCCACTCCCTGTCGCTCGCCACTGCCTTCTTGTCGCCGGGGAGCAAACTGCTTCCCACCGCCACCCCCCACACCGCACAGCCGTTAGCGATCAAGAAGCCGCCTCGCCGCCCCAGCCAGATCCGACCAGCACGCTCGTCGGACACCGGCCCACTCGTCGGACGTTGGTAGGGCAGCTAGATGGTCCGTGCGTGCCGCGACTCCCTTCGCCGGCCGTCTCCTTCTTAGACGCCCGCAAGCCGTTCGACATTTTGCCAAGGTACGAAATGGACTTCGCCGACGAGTTCTTTTTCCACAATTTCCTTTGCGACTCCGACGATTCATTGTCCCACAAGGAGGAGATATTAGCTACCGTGTTGGTCCATTACCACCTCAACAACCAGCGGCCATTGTTCCGTGGCTCCATTCCGGGCCATCTTCCGGCGTTGAATCACAACCGAGAGAGCGGGCATTTCCTTCTTTGGAAGGACTACTTTGATACAACAAACCCGTTGTTCAAACATAAAAAATTCTGCCGCCGTTTCCATATGAGTAGGCATCTTTTCAACCGTATTAGAGAGGGGGTGGTCGGCTATGATGACTATTTTGAGTGCAAAGAGGATGCCATCGGCAAGATTGGTTTCTCCTCCTATCAGAAATGCACTGCCGCCATCCGAATGCTTGCATACAGAGTGCCCGGTGATCTCATTGACGAGTACGTCCGTATGAGCGAGTCTACATGCCTAGAGTCCCTGTATAAGTTCTGTAAGGCTGTTATTGATGTGTTTGGCCTGAGTACTTGAGAGAGCCGACAGCTGAAGATACAACCCGTTTGTTGGAGATGAATGCAAGAAGGGGCTTCCCAGGGATGCTTGGCAGCATAGACTGCATGCACTGGGAGTGGAAGAACTGTCCTTCTGCTTGGCAAGGGCAGTATAAGGGCCATGTCAAGGTTTGCACTGTCATACTAGAGGTCGTGGCGTCTCAAGATCAAGATCTCTAGATCTGGCACTCTTTATTTGGCATGGCTGGATCACACAATGATATCAATGTGCTTTAGCGCTCGCCGATGTTTGCTAGGCTTGCCGAAGGCAACAACCCACCGGTGAACTTTGCCGTCAACGGCCACAACTACGACAAAGGATACTATATGGGTGACGGTATCTATCCTTAGTGGACCACTATTGTCAAGACAATACCCAACCCTGTCGGAGAGAAGAGGAAAAGATTTGTCCAAGAGCAAGAGAATGCTATGAAGGATGTCGAGTGTGCCTTTAGTATTTTGCAATCTCGATGGGGCATCGTTCCGTATCCTGCTAATACTTGGATGATATGCAACTATCCCTGGGTGGTTTTGGTAATTCCTAACAACATATAGCTCATTGAGCTAATGCTATTCCAAGATAAATATTTCAGGAAAGCTCAATGTTTGGCATGGCATGGATTAGAAAGTGGACCCTTCAAAATGCTAAGGACAAAGGATTGGCTCAAGCTCAAAGCACAAGACTCTACATTTTCTATTTTAGTGATCCAAGATCACATTAAGTCTATAGGAAAAGCCAATACTATTAAGAAGGGATGAGGTGTTGCTTAAAGAGAATCTTGCTCAAAATGCTTAGTGGTATGCTCCAAAACCCTCCACTACTTTCTCACTTCCACATATGTCCTAAACCAAATAGTCCAA